TGTAAGTTTGCGTACAAGAAAATTCTGAAATTTAAATTAACGAAACTATCATGTAGATTCTAGTAGCCAGTAATATGATTTTGTTTTAAGGTTCATGTAGATGCTTGTAAAATGCATGTAGAATTGTAGAATTCCTTGAGACTAAACTACTCCCAACTCTTTTAAAATTCAGAAGTTTATTCTGATTGTAAATGTAGGTCTAAAATTTTCTGCTGATGCGTTTAATTGAAACATCCAGTTCATTGATCACTATCTATCAACGCGATACATCACTTCCCTGCACATGGGTATAGAAATAGGTTTACATGTATTACTCCTCTGAGAGTTCACTGAAAAAAAGCCTTTGTTTTTACATTGTGTATTTTTGGTCATATTCTTAAAATTAAAATAAAATGAAAATAAAAAAAAAAAATGATTTTTTTTTTTAGAATTACACCCCACTTCCACACACATATGTAGATTTTTTTTCTTGAACAATGCAAATTTCACGATTTAAAATTTATTATATTCATTGTATTCTTTTTTGATTTAAGGTTTAAAAACATAAGTTGGACGAATGTTTATTTTTCCACCACAATATGTAAAAATACTTCGTTTTTTTTTTTTTTTTTTTTTTTTTTTTGCAAAAGACTGCAACTGCATGTGCTAACTTTTTATATGGAGTGGGAAAAAGATATTTCTGAAAATGAAGGAGGTGTAGCAATATTAAATAGACTGCAGATGTTTTTTTTTTTAAATGAAGAAATGTGAGTTTGTTGACCTTTGCAGTTACATAAACGAAATTTTGACATGTTCGTGATGCAGCAGCTCTCCATGCTTCATTAAGCATGACTGAAGTAGACCCAGCTTCGTTAATCACCCTCTCTTATACTGCATGATGTCACTCTTTCAAACATTGTTTGTATGATGCATCTTTCCCTGAACTATCCATGAAATTACGTAGGAATTTTTTCTTTAAATGCTAAAAACATGGACTAGCAATAAAGTCAATGGGTTTGGGGAAAAACATTTAAAAAAAAAAAATTAAGTACTACCCTGGTTATTTTTCCGGTTGATAATATGGATTAAATTAAAAAAATATATACATTTATGTATACCATAAAAGATGCTTTATGGAAAAAAAAGTCGAAAAGGCATCTTTATTTGTAATGTAACTTTCATTTTAATGTTCGTGTTTTCTTATTTCGATTGAAGGGTTTTAGTATTTTTTCTTAGATTAAAAGAGATCAAAATGAATAAATAAATAAAATTAGTTTCAGTACATTACTGCAGAAATTACTATTTATAGGTGTCATTTTTATCGATATACCAGACGGTGTTATTTCATTGCAACTTTAATATATGTATATTCTCCCAGGCCCCAAGGGAAGCAATTTCAGTTTGAGGGGGTACAACCATACATTTTCAGTTGGGGGGGTGGTGGTGGTGGCACTATCAACAACCAAATATTTCTTGACAAGCAAAAAAAATCGTTATTATTGAGGTGGCACAAGCATATAGCAGCTTTGTTTTCTATAGTATTCTATATATCGGCAAAATTATGGGGGGCGTGCCCCCCCCCCCCCCCGGAATGTCTCCAATGCATAAAACTTACACTTACCACTTGCAATACAGAAGGAAAAGCTTACATAAGAATCCTATATATACAGCAGAACTAAAGGTTTTTTTTTTGGGGGGGGGGGGGTATTTTTATACAGTTAGAGTGACATGTCCTTAAAATGGAAATCTTCAGTATATTGCTCAATTTAAAAAAATAAATTCAGCATTCTTATTGTTTTATTTGATTGAACACTTTATTTGGATGTATTTTCCACAGTGATACATGTATCTCTGTCTATCAATATTTTGTTTCTTCAAAAAAATTTTCTGTTGGTATAAACAATCCTACATATATACTGAATTAAATGTAGGAAAAAGTAAAAATAAACAAGAGGCCCACTGGCCACAATGCTCACCTGAGACATTATGGCCCTTCTGTTCTTCATGAGCAGTTTTTTCCCCTATATATTCCCATGTAAAACTTTGATCACCCAGTATGATCCCTCCCAACTCCCTGGGGCCATGATTTAACAAACTTTAATATACACTATCTGAGGATTTTTCCATATCAATATGACTAATCATGGCTTTGCTATTCTTGAGAAGATTTTTAAAGATTTTCCCTACATATTATAATGTAAAAATAACTATAAAAATTTCATCCCTCATTGTAGCCCCTCCCTACTCACAATGGTCATGATTTAAACACATTTAAATCTATACTACCAGAAAATGCTTCTATATCAATATAACTAATCATGCTTTGTTGTTTTTGAGAAGATTTTGAAAGATTTTTCCTATACATTCCCATGTAAAAAATCTGATCACCCATTGTTGCCCCACCCTTTCCCTGGAGGTCATGGTTTGGAAAAATTGATTCTACACTATGTCAAGAAACATTCACATAAGTTTCATCTTTAATTTTCTGGCCCAGTGGTTCTTGAGAAGAAGACTTATAAATGACCCCACCCAATTTTCACTATTTCTTAATCATATCCTTTTGGAAGAGGTTGTGGCCCTTCATTTGAACAAATTTGAATTCCCTTCACCCAGGATACTCTGTGCTAAGTTTGGTTTACCGGTATATTGGCTTAGTGGTTCTGGAGAAGAAGATGAAAATGTGAAAAGTTTACGACACCACCAACAATGATTGAAGACATTGGGTAAATTTTTATCAGAAAAACTCACTTGAGCCTTTGGCTCTGGTGAGCTACAAACTAATTAAAAGGTACCGTGAGCACTGAGCTCACAAAATGATACCCCTATTCCCACATGAGTATAATGGCAAAGTCCAAGTTTTACTATTGGAAACCCAAAATGTCTGTCTATAATGGAAACAAAAAATAGGATGTGCACAATACCACTATGTAATAAATATTTGGTGAAAGTTTCATTAAATTGCATTCAGTGGTGTAAGAGGAGTTGCGGATAAGGGAAGGCTACCCCCAAGTGTTATGGATGTACAGACGTATGGACAGGCACTCCCATCACTATCTACCCCTACTTTTCAAGTGGGTGAATAAAAATCTGACAGAAATTTTTCATTGGAATCTTTTATGTACAAAATCCAAAGAATGTGTATGCTTAGACTGAACAGGAGACTATAGGAAAAGGGGAGTAACTCAGATCATTACAAATTACAGAATAAGTCTCCATAAAAAAATCCCCCAAAACATTACAGTTGTTTATAACATGTAGTAACAGATATTGCAATATGATATTTTTCTTTGTTTACAATTATACTGCTCTGTAAGTAAAAAAATCAAAGAAATGAATTACATGTATGTGGTAAAAATTGAGGGTTTTCCTTTAACACGATCTGATGATTCATGTACAGGTATATGCAATTAACATATAAACAGAAGTTAAAGGTCATATCAAAATAAATACATGTATACACTAATGGCTTTAAATAAATTCATGAATGTCTTCATAAAATTAAAACAGTGAACACTGAAAGGACAGTTGAGCTACATGTATACTTTACATATTAATCACATAAACTGTTCATTTTCCTATAACTTATGAGAACAGAGTCACTCACAAATCATTCAATGTTTTTTAAACATAGTAAAAGGTAAAAAAAAAAATGAAAAACTAGGACCAAAAACTAGACTTAATGCTGATTGCACAAACACATTAAAAACTCTTTGCTTCAACACATTTTTTTTCATGTTTCATTGACTTGAGTTCTTCCTAGAATCTTCAATTTGTTATAATATTTAGTTAAGAAGGGGAAAAAAACTTACATTTTTTTATAAATAAAAAGACTACCATGTATATTTTTGAGAGCATATTTTTTCTTTCAAATGCTGTCCTTAAACATATATCAAGTGAAGCTAATCTCATAGGAGAAGAAAAACAGGCTTCTAACACCACAGATGTGACTTTCAACATAATAAATAATGTAGAAAGTGTTTGACATGAAATACAGATTTCAGTTTCAGTCAAATTCTGGAATATCATCATATGAATATCCATCGTATCCTTTGTATGCGTAGTAAGCTATTCTTACATGGTAGGCTCCAGGAATGAACATGAGTGCTCCTATAATTAACACAGGCCAAGTTCTGTCTGCATACTAAACAAAGGAAATTATCTACATGTAACTAGGAATTAAATTGTAAGTATATAATAATACTTTTTATTCATGTTATCTCAAGTTTATATAGAACTGTATAATAAAAAAAAGTAGAGAAGTCAATAAACTGTAACTATTCATATATAGAATACTAAACACTGTTAAATTAATCACATTTGTTTCAAAAGAATACTGGTAAATAGTAACAACCAGTTTGAAATTTTCAAAATGTGATATAATAATCAAAATACATGTATCTACATACAGGTGACTCTCGATCTCTCGAAGTTCAAGGGACCGCAAGAAAAGTTCGAGAGATCGAGGGGTTCGAGAGATAGAACGTGAATAAAATCCGGAATTTTCAGTTCCGATCATCATTATTCTACTATTATAAATATCAGAAGTATAGGTTGATAATGTCATTGCATGTTTTCATTGGTATTTTACAGGTAATTCACTTGATTTCAACAACAATTATTGTATTTTGAATAAATAAAACGATCTCTTTAAGTTTCAATATTTATTTGTTCTCATTTCATGATTACATGAAAGCTGAATAGCAATCGTTGGTGTTGCTATCCGCCGGGCTTGATGGGGTCCTTCACCAGATTTCTTGAATTAAATCGGATTTAGTTCTTGAGATAAGATTTCTTGTGCAATGTTTGTAATGCTGGGATTATGTAGACTCTAATAAAACTTCATGGAAAATTATTGACACGTCTCTTAAATTATTTTCTAAAAATTATCGTCTCGCTGTCAAGTCAAAATAAGTTGTGAAGCAATTTGTTTATAATTTACCAATTATAACAAATAAATTATATCAACACTCGGATGCTCACAGGTATAGTGTCATCTATGTAAACACCCAATTGACACCTCCATGCCAGCCCCAGGCATTCACTGTTATCCAGGTAAGTCCAAGCTGCATTGATTTTACGCTTGATTGGCATGTACACACGTGCAATAAAAACTTCGAGAGATATAGAGTAAAAAACAATGAAATATGTGTAACGGGACCCAGGTCTTGGTTCGAGAGATAAAGAACTTCGAGAGATAAAGAACTTCGAGAGATCGAAAGTTCGAGAGATCAGAAGTAAATTTGCTTAGTTATATAGAGGGAAAAAACGGAACCGGAGGTTCACTTCGAGAGATCAAGAACTTCGAGAAATCGGAGTTCGAGCCATCGAGAGTCACCTGTATTTCCTTTTAAAATTGCTTAAACAGGCTGGTAAATATGTTAGTACAAAGTAAATGACAATCCTTTTTATCTGAAATGTATAAAAAGAATGAAAGACTGAATTTGATACCCCCTCTTTTCAAATAAGTCTTACCTCAGCATTGATATATCCTGTCAACAGCAAAGAGCCAATAATCAATAGGATGGTCCCTATAGAAAACAGCACAGTTGCTAATAGGATAGCCTTATACGGGACTTTTGGAGGTGGTCTCTCAAACTAGAAAATGAGAAATAACAGCTGATGGAATTTCCTGCAGATATTTTTATTTCAGACTATATACTGATGTTTTTTCAATGTATATTCTATATTTGTTAAGCCTGTGCATTCCATCCCAGGATCTGTTTTTGCATATTCATAAAAAAGGGTTGAAATACTATCATGATTATATATACAACTGTATTAAATCATACATAGATTATGTATATAGCTTTTCTGTTTTTAATCAAATTAATATATGAACATAACATTTGTTGCTCTTTTTTCTGAATAATCTATTTTATAATTCATATAATGTAAAATACCAGATTATTTCTAAAGGCAAGTTCTGATTTACTTTCCTTGGAATTTACTTTGTAAATGAAATGAACACATAGGGGAAAGGGATGTTAATCCAATTACATGTAATTATTCCAAGTGAAGTCACACTTAAGGAAATTTCAAAACATACAATCCACATGACAAATCCGAACGTTTAGTTTCCATGAAAATTTATCAAAAACAGAAATGAACATCAAGGAAAATAATTGAACAAAGATGATGATGGTAATTTTACTCTAGAAAGATCTTCTTAAATCAAGAGAGATTTCAAAATATTTGAAAAAGTTGTCCATTTTAACTTACCTCCTCAGAATCACTATGAATCATATCACTTGGGATAAGATGGTACATTTTAAATAGAGTTCCTTCCCTTGTCCCTCTGGCCTACCTTTTCTACTCATTTTTATAAAAGAGTGCTAGCAAGGGAAGTAAATCTAAAATGGTCTCAAGCTAGCCCTTGGCAAACATGGATACAGCATATAGTGATACTTTCCCAAACTGATAAATACACTATGTCTACTAAGGGAGAGTCATATCGATATATCAAGTTTTTTTTAACATGTCTGATAAACTCCATTTCCTGCACAGTCATAGTATATCAGAATTTATTTATGTTCAGTTTGGTTCCAAAGCACACGTTTAGCATGCTGTTTAAATGTGGAGTAGATTTAAAGCAATTCTCGACCCTTTACTCGACGAAATTTAGCAATTTATCCCTGTTCAAATCCGATAACATACGCTGTATATACAGACAGCCCATCAATCCAAAAATTTCAGGTGAGATCAATCTTTTTATCAAGTGTACAGTGCTGTAATCTCTGTGTTCAGACGTTTTATAGATGGAGGTGTTGTTAAAGATGTTCTACTAAAGACACAAACCTGTAAACCAATATAACCATCGTCGTGAGACTTTGTCAGCTTGTGATATTTAGCGGAGCCTCCATCAACAACTGATCTTTTCGGCATCATCCAAAATAATTTGCTTTCATGTCAACAAATGTGCGGATTCTAGAGCCCGATTCAATAACGTGTGGTATTTTTTTTTTTTTTTATTTTCTTCATTTTTTCACAGGGATCTACATTGTATATGTCAGGTGCCAATATTCATAATCTTTTCTCAATTTGTTTTATTATTTACAAACCTTTTTATGCTTTTTCTTAATTGCTCAAGGAGGAACACATAGAGTCGGGCTCAACGTCCCTTCAGAAAGTGAAAGTAGAGATAGTGACTGCTCGGCTTGCTGTTTTGGACTGTGGACACCTGTTGAGATGGCAACACCAGAGTATTATGGTGGAGTTGAAGGGTAGATATATCCATTATATACTCATTTTAGTATGAAGTTAATCCATTTATTTGAAAACAGATACTCCTTTAAAAGACCCATGAACACCTTGAACTGTTGAAACCATTTATTAAAAGGTATCTGGTGTGCTGTTTTATTTGCAGGGACCAATAAAGATCCAAGAGTATTGTGTTGTAAATCTAAGTGGTCATCTCTGTGGGCAGTTGACACAGAGTTTTCTATTGGCTGAAATGTTTCTTGTACATTTTAGGGGAGCTACCCATTCCAAAATGGTGTTGATGAATGAGAATGGAAACATCTTAGCGTGGACAGACGGACCATCAACAAATCAATGGGTTAGTAATCAAAGTACACTTTTTAGGTTCACAATAATGGGAAAGTTGTCGACTATTTCTTGTACAACCATTATAAAATCCCTGAAACATTCTATATACTACCCCACATGAGCGCTGAGCAAATTGTCAGTGGTGAGCAAAATATGAGAGTGCAGGTTGAGCAGATGATGAGTGATTACAGAGTAAGTGATGAGCAAAACGGTATGATCAGAGTGAGTGGAGAGCTAACAAAGAACTGAACGTGAATTTAGAACACTTGCTCACTAATAGTCTGACTACCCACTTTTCTGCACTCTCTGTTCACTTGTATGCTTATCGTTCACTGTTGCTAGTAAGGGTGAGAATGCTTTTAACGTTTCACTCACTGTTCTTAAAGTTTATATGCTTTGCATATGCTAAAAATACAAGTATTGCACAAGTCATCTAGGAAGTTTTTGAAATTTCCATATTTCATCTTGGAATAGACTGGGGATTCAGTATACACTTATGAACGATACCGTAAATCTGGAAATTTTTGCTGTAGATAAATTTTTAGCAAATTTGCACGTGCATTGCATTCGCAAAAATATATTTCTTAAAAATAAATCAACAACAAAAAAATGAAAAACAAAAATTTTTGCTATTTTTTAACAAGATGAACAGGTGTTCGTAAGCAGTGGTCATTTTTAGAAATCTGTTTATACTACAAGCTAATTACCCGTGACAATCCGTGCGTAAGACTACCTTCACTACATTCAACATCGTCCGATGGTCTGACAGGCAGTATGTCTCTTTAAATTCAATTATTTCTCTAAGAAAGAGAGGCCAGTTGTTTTATCTAAGAACAGATGTTTTTATCTGAAGGTTAGTTAAAACTGACAGCGTTTTATATATTTTTTGTACATGTGTGATTTATTAAAATGTTATGAAAACTTTAAATAGATTAGATGTTTTATCTCCTAAATTCTAATATTTTATCTTATTATCGAACATTGGCATTGTTTAGTATTGTATGTACATGTTTAATTTATTGTAAGTACATGCGTAATCTATAATCCGATTATTTAATGTTGGCATCGTTTAATATTGTATGTACATGCATAATTTATTGTATGTACTACATCCTTAACTTATAAACTGCTATGAAAATTTTAAGTGCTTTTTAATTTTAGCACCAATGTCAATTCGCAAAATTTTGAAACGTAAAAATTAATCAACAGCTTTTTGAACCAGATTCGCAAAAATAAATCGACGTAAAAATTTCCAGATTTACGGTATGCAATTTCTGAAATACCAGACAAGAAATAGGATGTTGTGATTTCATTAGTTTATGCAAAAGTCTCTTAAACATGACAGGATGGGATGTTAACAAATCCTCTCTGCTCTAGCATAAGAGGTTGACAGACAAGTCGGATTGAAATTTTTTTAAAAATAATTCTTTGGTTTCTGAAAGTTTGTCCTTATATATTTCATGTATTTGATACCAGACCATTTTTAAAAAAGTATTCAAGCTTTTATCAAACAAAAAAATGTTAAAAGTGGGTATCATATTACATGTAACAAGATGTTCCATTGGATTTGTGAATTGTTTGTACTAAGTAGTTTGCCCCAAAAAACCCCAAAAATGTTGCCTGGAGTCTGAGATATGTAAACAAAAGGAAACCTTCATTTTGGTTAATGTTTTCCAGTTGATAGGACAAGAGGAATGTCTGAAGAGAGTAAACAATATGGTTGAGGATGCCAAATCTAAGGCAGGACTGGATCCCAGCACCAAGTTAGTGTCTCTGGTTAGTGAATGAATTTAATTTTTTTGAAAGTTATCTTGATTTTTTTTTAAAGTTAATTATTAAGTCGAGCTCTTAGTTTATGACCACTTCATTTTTAGCTCACCTGAACCAAAGGCTCAAGTGAGCTTTTCTGATTGAAAGGTATCTGGCATTTATCTGTCATTTGTAAACTTTTCAAATTTTTCAACTTCATCTGAAGAATCTTGGGTAAAGGGATTCAGGTTTCTTCAAGTGAAGGCCCACATCCTCTTCCAAGGGGAGATAATTAAAAGTTACTGAAAATTTGATGGTATCTTTTAAAAAATTTCTTCTCAAGAAACACTGGGCCAAAACAATATGAAACTTAAGTGAAAGCGTCATTACTAAAAGTTGATTCAATTTTCATCAAGTCATGAACCCATAGTGTAGGGTGGGGCCACAATAGGTGATCAAAGTTTTACATAGGAATATATAGGGGAAAAATCTATAAAAACTTCTTTCAAGAACAGCAAAGACATGATTAATCATTTTTATAAGGAAGCATCCTTAGGTAATGTAGATTCAAGTTTGTTCAAATTATGATCCCCCAGGGCAGGGTGGGGCCACAATAGGTGATCAGAGGTTTACATTGGCATGGTGTAGATATTAAGAAAATTCTTTAAAAATCTCAAGAGCAGCAAAACCATGATTAGTCATATTATTATAAAAGCATCATCAGGTAGTGTAGATTCAAGTTTATTAGGTCACCTGAGTCACTCAGTTGACCTATTGCTATCCGTTTTTGTCCGTCGTCGTGCGTCGTCCTTCGTGCGTTAACATTTAAACATTTTCAGCTTCTTCTCTGAAACCGCTCAACCAGTTTCAACCAATTTTGGCATATAGCATCTATGAGTGAAGGGGGACGAAAAGTGTGAATTTCATGATGCCCTGGCCCCCGGAGCCTGAAGGGTGGGACATAAACCACCAAAATTAATGCAATCTTTAAAAATCTTCTTCTTTACTCCTGGACATCAAGCAGTCAAACTGTTGGCATGATGGTAATAAACATTGAGCCCTCTACCAAAATTGTGAAATTTATAGCCCCAGGGTCAGGGGTTCTGGTGCTAGGGTGGGGCTATATAGATCTTATAGTGAAAGAAAGTGCATTATTTCTTTGAAAATCTTCTCTGCTCCTGGGTATTAAATAAACTAAGTACATAGTTATGTTGAGCAAGACTGCCTCTTCCAAAATTTTGAATTTCATGGCCCCAGGGTCAGGGGTTCTGGTGTTAGGGAGGGGCTCTATTGATTATATAGTGAAAATGCATTAAATCTTTGAAAATCTTCTTCTCTGCTCATGGGTGTTAAATAAACTAACTAAGTACATAGTTATAATGAGCATTGCTGCCTCTTCCAAAATTGTGAATTTCATGGCCCCTATTGATTATATAGTGAAAATGCATTATTTCTTTGAAAATCTTCTTCTCTGCTCCTTGGTATTAAATAAACTAACTATGTATATAGTTATGGTGAGCAAGAGTGCCTCTTCAGAAATTGTGAATTTCATGGCCCCTGGATCAGGGGTTCTGGTGTTTGGGCAGGGTTCTATTGATTATATAGTGAAAATGCATTATTTCTTTGAAAATCTTTTTCTCTGCTCCTTGGTATTAAATAAACTAACTAAATATATAGTTATGGTGAGCAAGAGTGCCTCTTCAGAAACTGTGAATTTCATGGCCCCTGGATCAGGGGTTCTGGTGTTAGGACGGGGCTCTATTGATTATCTAGTGAAAAATGCATCAATTCTTTGAAAATCTTCTTCTCTGCTCCTTGGTATTATTTAATAAAAGGAAGTGCATGGTTATGATAAGCAAGAATACCTCTTCCAAAATTGTGAATTTCATGTTCCTCGGGTCAGCAGGGGTTCTGGTGAAAGGGGGAGGGATCTCTATTGATTATATAGTGAAAATTCATAATTTCTTTCAAAATATTTTTTCTACTCCTGGTTATAAATCAAAGAAACAAGTGTATACTTATGATGAGCAAGGATGCTTTTACAACATTTTTAAAACTTGTGATCCCAGGGGTTCTGTTGTGTCTGTGAGGGGGGGGGGGGTCTATTGATAATATAGTGAAAATGGGTGAATTCTTTGAAAATCTTCAACTACATGTAATTGCATAGTTATGATGATGAGGGTACCTCCTCCAAATTTGTAAATTTCCTGACCCTGGGTCATGGGTTCTGGTGTTAGGGTAGGGCTGTGTTAAATAGTGAAAAAGCATTATTTCTTTGAAGATTTTCTCTGCTACTGGGCACATTGGAGGCAAACAGAGTAAAAAGTTTTAATAAGCAAGGGTATTTTTACCAGAATTTTGAACATCTGGACCATTTAGTCACGTGTTCTGGTCCTGGCCAGGGCTCTATTAATTTGTATTTGACTGAGTGAAGTTATTCCCCTTTGCCATTCACCTTTGATAATTAATCACTGTAGATGATGTATTTGAAAGGTTAATAGAATAAGAGAATTATGCAAGAACATTTATTGTATAACACAAAAAGTACTTTCTTAGTCTAAATGATCAGGTAGACTTGGAAATAATACATGAATAAAAATAAAGCAAAAATAACTTATCTTTTTAAATGTTCTTCAAAGGCCAAGCGAGGTCAATGTGAGAGGTAATAGAAATTTAGTTGAAAGTCTGCATGGTAATAGTGATAAATGGGGGACAGATAGATAGATACTAGAACAATTATTTTGTTGATCTTAATCATACTATTTTTCTTGCTTTTTTGCAACAAAGCTTCATTTATCAGTTTATGGATCCTCTAAATTGTTGTACTCAGGTGACTGTTAAGGCCCTTGGGCCTCTTGTTTAAATCATGACCCCTTGGGATAGGGTGGGGCCACAATAGGAGATCAAAGTGTTACATAGGGATACAAAGTAAAAAAATCTTTAAAGATCTTCTCAAGAAAAGCAAAGCCATAAAGTCATATTTAAATATAAGCATCCTCAGGTAGTGTAAATTTAAATTCGTTCAAATCATGACCCTTTGGAGCAGGATGGGCCACAATAGGCCATCAAAGTTTTACATAATACATGTAATATATATGAAAAAAATCTTTTTCTCAAGAACAGCAAAGCCATGATTAATCATACATGTATTTACTTCAGATAGTGTTGATTCAAATTTGTTCAAATCATGTCCCCCAGGGATAGGGTTGGGCTACCACAGGAGATCAGAATTTTACATTGGAATATATTATAGGTTAAATCTTTAAAATTCTTTCTCTAATGAACAGCAAAGCCATGAAAAATCATATTGATATGCAAGCATCCTCTGGTAGTTAAGATTCAAGTTTGTGCAAATCAGGACCCTCAGGAATAGTTTGAGGCTACAATAGGGAATCAGAGTTTTACAAGGGAGCATATAGGAAGAAATCTTTTTCAAGAGTTGCAAGACCACACTAAATCGTATTGATAAACAAAACATTCTTAAGTTGTTAGATCAGATTTTCAAAAATCATGAGCCCTGGGGGTTAGGGTTGGGCTGAAATCAGGGATCCAGATTTACATAATGCATGTGTACTAGAAAAAAGAAATCTTCTCCAGAAGAGCAGGGCTTTGTTGATCATACTGATATTAGAGCATCCCACTGTTGTGTGGATTCAACTTTGACTAAATCATAGGTCCCCCAGGGCTAGCTTTGGCCCACAATATGGAGTAAAAATTTTTATGGAATAAAAGAGGGAAATTTAAACAAAAATGCTGATGAAAAACAGCAGGGCAAAATTGATTCAGGTGAGCATGTGGCCCATGGGCTTCTGTTCAACTTATTGCTTTGTTAATAATTTAGCTTGATATCCATATAAGAATTTATCAGACTCTCTTCTGTCATTAAACTAAGCATTTATTAATCTGTTCTAGGTACCATTTGTGATTGACATTTAGGTGTGAAAATAAAAGTGTTTTTTTTCTTGTAATAATTAATGATTAAATCATTTGAATGAGTTGTTCAGAGTGGATTAAAATCTAAGTTTTTTTGACAGGGCTTATCAATGAGTGGGGCAGACCAGAAGGAGGCTCAGGATCAGCTGATCAGTGGAATGAAATCCAAATACCCCCAGTGTAGTCAAAATGTGTTTATTGCTAGTGACACTGCTGGGGCCATTGCAACAGCCACAGAGAAAGGTATTGAATTCAAGTTCAGGCAGGGGAATTATAGAGCTGAATGCTTTGACTAGATAAGACAGGCTAAAACATCTTACCATTTTTTTAAATGTAAAATTTTCTGATTTGACGTGTGAAAAGGGTTTTGGTTAAAATGTGAAATAATTCTTTCCATGAAAAACTTCAACATGTTCAAGGTCTAATGGCAACATTCCTGGTTTCTATATTTGGTAACATGTTGTGTAAAAGTGTTAAGTTTCATAGAATATGAAAATCTTTTTTTGATTCAGTTCACAAGATGTCTTGCAAATATTGTACAACTTGGTCTGAGTGGTTAGGAAAAATTATGATCTACCAGTATAACACACACACAAACTGAAAAACTACACATAACTCAAATGACCTTTAAAATTGCAATTCTTTTAACATTTTAGGTGGAATTGTTTTGATTGCTGGAACTGGATCTAATTGTATGCTGATCAATCCTGATGGAAAAGACTTCAGATGTGGAGGTTGGGGCCATCTCCTAGGAGATGAGGGATCTGGTACAGTTTGCGGATTTTTACCTATTTCTACATTAAAACTTGTCTAATCTGGATGTTGTTTATTCCAAAATCTTTCCTATAATGATGAAAATTTTTAGTCCTTTTAAATCTTTTGTAATGTTGTTTTATCTTACCTATTGTTGTCTATTAATTAAGCAAATTTCTATGTAACCAGTGGTGTCTAGATTAGACAAGTTTCACTGTATAAAAAAAGGGAGGGAAAAAAAAAGGAAACTACTGCAAATTTAATATTTCTTTTGCTTTTATATTCTTTTTGCATCTTTCATGCACAGCATATTGGATCACACAGAAAGCCATTAAGATTGTGTTTGACCATGAGGACAATCTGAAAGTATCACCACACGATATATCGTTTGTACGGGATGCCATGATGAAATATTATCAGGTGAAGTTATTTTATTTGTACTGTTAAATGAATATGTTTCATAAGAGATTAAATATAGGACTCCTTTTTTATATATTTAATCTTTCTCAGTTAAATTTTTGTTTTATTAATTTTCAGAAAAATTAAGTGGATTTACTAAGTTTATTTGTAGCAATAGAACCTTAGGGTATGGATTGTATTAAATGAGGTTAATTAAAAAAAATACAAAACCAGTGAATGGTTACCTTAATTGCTCACTGGTTTTGCAGGATTCATAGTCTACATTTGTGGAGAGATTTGATGCCCTTGTTTTTTTTCTGAGTTACTGATGTATTTACAGTGTCAGAATGGTTGACAGACATAAACATTTGTAGCAGTAGAACCTTAGGGTATAGATTGCTATATATTTAATCTTTCTCAGTTAAATTTTTGTTTTATTAATTTTCAGAAAAATTAAGTGGATTTACTAAGTTTATTTGTAGCAGTAGAACCTTAGGGTATAGATTGTATTAAATGAGGTTAATTAAAAAAAATACAAAACCAGTGAATGGTTACCTTAATTGCTCACTGGTTTTGCAGGATTCATAGTTTACATTTGTGGAGAGATTTGATGCCCTTGTTTTTTTTCTGAGTTACTGATGTATTTACAGTGTCAGAATGGTTGACAGACATACGTTGAACTGGTATGATTCTTTTTTTCAGATCAGTGATAGAAATGAAATTCTTCATTACTTTTATTCCAAGTTTGACAAATCCTACATTGCTGGCCTATGTAAAGAACTTGCTCAAGGTTTAACTTCTTTTCTATACTAGCTGAAATGACAGCTAGATTTTAAACTGCTATTAGGAGAGTCTGACATGAAAATCATTTAATTTTTATATTTTCATGTTCTAGCTGAGAAATATAAGAGGCATTCATGAAAAATAAGATTAACAGAAATAGAAATTTGAACTCCTACAGTAAAATCAAAATAAACAAAATTCATGATTTCAATTTTACATCTCTTTTTTAGGTGCCAAGGAAAAGAACGACAAGATATGTCTGGAACTTTTCAGACAAGCTGGGGAAATTTTAGCAGAACATATCCTTGGTGTTAGCCCACGAATAGCAGAGGTAATGTCTGTGGCTATTACATGACTTCAGCAGCAACTGGAAAACATACATAATAATATGTAATAAGTCTCTCGAAAATTTTTAATTTATTTTATTCCCCTCGCAGGAACTACTGAACACACCCAGTGGACTACAGGTGGTCACAGTGGGGTCTGTTTGGAAAAGCTGGGATCTCATGAAAGACGGTAAGTTCAATGTTCAATAGTTATTTGGATGTCAAGAAAAAGGAAACAGCACTATAAGACACATTTAATTTATCTTGTAAAATGAGTGGATTACAATTACATCACAACAATTATCTTAAAATATTATGTATATCTTGTCCTGCTTTTTTTTACTTAGGTTTATTTTGCATCATGAAATTGATTTAAAGTAACATACATGATAAACAAAAATGCAGATAAAAATGGGGAATTCAAAAAAAAGAGCTAAAACAGAATGGTTCAGGAAATGTGAAATAACCATGACAGATATCAATTTGATATTACTGTACTTTATACTGTCGCCATGATTAACCAAGGTCTTTATCGTACGTTATGTGAAAGAGATTACATGTTTAAGGCTATTGCTTTTTTCAGGTTTTGTGAGTGTTTTAAAGGACAGGAAAAGAAATACCAGAATATCTAAGATAAGTTTACTAGAACTTAAGGAGTCTGCGGCTATAGGAGCTGCCAGTCTGGGCGCTAAGTCTATCAAATTTAGTCTGCCTATCAACTATCAAAACAACGCTTCTCTTTATTTCCAGGCAGAATTTTGAATGTCAACATTTACTCCAGGCAAAATAATGGTAAAATTATTAGGTTTCATTTTGGAGGTCTTTTTTTTTATAATCAGCAAAGATTTCTTTACATTTTTTTTTTAAAATGGTCTAATAATGAAATATATTGCACCAAAATATTCTTATTGTCCCCCACTTTTGCATAAGTGTGGGGACCTGAAATCTCATTTGTCTGTCTATCTATCACAAAAACTTAAACCTTGGTCATAATGTTTGAATGAGAGAAGATAAGGCTTTCATATTTCACATTTGCATTATTTGTGACAAGACTTTTTTGAATGCAGTATGATTTTTTGACTTCATGGTCATGACCTTGAAGATTGACCTAATTTTTTAAGAAAAAAAATTAATCTTGGCCTTAGCTTTTGAGTGAGAAGAGATAGGTCTTTCATATTTCACATGTGCATTACCTGTAACAAGACCTTTCTAAATATACTATGATTTTTTACCACTTTACCTTTACCTTGAAGTTTGATCTACCTTTCAAAAATATAACCTTGGCGATAATTTTAGTATTTTTTGTCACATCTGCATAACCTATAACAAGACCGAAGGTACTATGATTTTTTACCTCGTCTCCTAACTTTAACCGGCAGTAACTTTTGCACCTGTGCCCAGAACATATTGCTTCAGGTACATCATTTTTTCATTTTATGAATGGACAAGACAGTTACAATATGCCATAGATCAATGCACCCCAACCAAAAGCAGGGAACCACAATTCTCTGAATTTGCTTGTTTAGAACCACATTATGAAATCTAATGGTTTCTGGATACATTAGTGCAAGTGCATTGTACATATCATCTTCGCTAGCCAAGGGTTTCTGATACGCTACTCTCCTCATAAGCCCTTGGCATACGGTGTTAAAAAAAAGTTGGGATTTTTTTCTCAAGTTGTGATTGGAGTTGATCGACATCGTTCGACCAATCAGCAATTGTTTTTTTGCAAATGACGATATTTGTGTTCGGGAAATATCTTGACTCTTTAATCATGTTAATATCGGGAATGAAAAACGCAAGTAAACAACGACCCGTAAGATAACATGCCATTCTATGAATAGCTATATGGTGCCATCCAATGTCTAAAGCTACGTGCAAAATATGTGATTAAGAATCAATACTGAAGATCTAGATTTGCATTTTAACATGTTTAAATAACAAATTAACATAACTCAATACCTTCCTGTTAATTATTCTTTAAAAACATTAATTTTTTAAATACGCTTTTTATTTCTGTCGATGACGCAATCTGTGCCGTACCTGGTAAGAATTGTGATCACGTGACGAAAACAATCCCGTCTTTTGTCAGCACCGTATGCCAAGGGTACGGAAGCGTATTAGGGCCGCAGCAGTATCTTTTATTAATTTGTTTTAACAACTTACTAATTTGTTATAACAGATTATTAATTTGTTATAACAGATTACTAATTTGTTATAACAAATTATCAATTTGTTAAAACAAATTACTAATTTGTTAAAACAAATTACTAATTTGTTATAACAGATTACTAATTTGTTATAACAGATTACTAATTTGTTATAACAAATTACTAATTTGTTATAACAAATTATCAATTTGTTAAAACAAATTACTAATTTGTTAAAACAAATTACTAATTTGTTATAACAGATTACTAATTTGTTATAACAAATTACTAATTTGTTATAACAAATTATCAATTTGTTATAACAGATTACTAATTTGTTAAAACAAATTACTAAATTGTTATAACAAATTATCAATTTGTTATAACAAATTATTAATTTGTTATAACAGATTACTAATTTGTTATAACAAATTACTAATTTGTTATAACAAATTATTAATTTGTTATAACAGATTACTAATTTGTTATAACAGATTACTAATTTGTTATAACAAATTATCAATTTGTTAAAACAGATTACTAATTTGTTATAACAGATTACTAATTTGTTATAACAGATTACTAATTTGTTATAACAGATTACTAATTTGATATAACAAATTATCAATTTGATATAACAAATTAATAATTTGTTATAACAAATTGGTAATTTGTTATAACAAATTAATAATTTTGATAAAGTGAAAGTGTATACAGATCTATGGAAGCCAGATGAGATCAGAAATCTTTTTATAAGTTGGATTTGTGAAAATAGTAAATGTGCAAGCTCTGCAGCTACAGCTTTTGACCAATATGTTAATCTGGATTTACATCTTTTAGCATTTAGAGTTTTCACTGTCAAACATTATTGTTATAAAGATACAATGCATTAAATTCTTTGGTTACTTATTCTTAGGAGCTCTATTTGAATTTTGTCCTCCTCCCCCACCAGGGCTCCGTCCTTGACTCCCATTTACCAGGTCATTGCATCCTCGTTCGTATGCTAGGAAAAAATATCTTATCAAAGACATGTTATTTGGAGAGGGAATTTTTCCCACCCTGAATCAACATGTTCATTATAATATTTTTTTTTCAATATGTCTTTTATTTTATTTCATTTTACCCCCCCCCCTCCCTCTCTCTCTCGGTTCATTCTATACATGTACCAAATGATTTATGCCTACTGTTCAATCCAGTTTATGTATCATGAATAAAATATATTTTAAACTAAACCGCCGTTCCTAATGCAAAAACCTGAATCTGCTCCTCTGGTTATCCTCCTTGGCCCCAATTTATGCTGGGGGCAATAAAGGCAACATTGATAAAAAATGAATTTGTAGATAAATTATCATAGAAAAATTGATAAACACTCTGTAATAACCTTTTCTGAAAACGAAAATAAACAATATTCTTGAGTGGGTAGTACTTCGTAAAATTTGAATTTAGATACCTTGTGAAATTTTTTCATGTATGTATGTATTTTTATAATCAAAATACGTGCCTTTTGGAAAAGCCCTCAAAGTCCCACTAAAGCCTTCATAACTTATTATTGGCTGAAAACTTTGACAGTTGTTTCTTCAAATTCATTTGTAATTTGTATCCTGGTTGTCTCATATAGGACTACTCATATATTTTACAAGAAATCGTTAAGCAATATAATTTGTTATAACAATACACACAAAATATTACACATGTGTAAAGAAGGAAAAAATAGGTCTTCTCCCATTTTGACCCCTGTGTTGACATTGAAAAAAGTGTTGATTTGAATGGACGACGTTGAAATCATATTTAATTGTCCGGAACTTCGAATTTTTCTCGAAGGATCCAACATTCTGTATTTCTTCTACATAATCCCTGGATCCAGAGGAGCAGATTCAGGTTTTTGCATTAGGAACGGCGGTTTAGTTTAAAATATATTTTATTCATGATACATAAACTGGATTGAACAGTAGGCATAAATCATTTGGTACATGTATAGAATGAATCGAGAGAGAGAGGGAGGGGGGGGGTAAAATGAAATAAAATAAAAGACATATTGAAAAAAAAAAAATTATAATGAACATGTTGATTCAGGGTGGGAAAAATTCCCTCTCCAAATAACATGTCTTTGATAAGATATTTTTTCCTAGCATACGAACGGGGATGCAATGACCTGGTAAATGGGAGTCAAGGACGGAGCCCTGGTGGGGGAGGAGGACAAAATTCAAATAGAGCTCCTAAGAATAAGTAACCAAAGAATTTAATGCATTGTATCTTTATAACAATAATGTTTGACAGTGAAAACTCTAAATGCTAAAAGATGTAAATCCAGATTAACATATTGGTCAAAAGCTGTAGCTGCAGAGCTTGTACATTTATTATTTTCACAAATCCAACTTATAAAAAGATTTCTGATCTCATCTGGCTTCCATAGATCTGTATGCACTTTCACTTTATCAAAATTATTAATTTGTTATAACAAATTACCAATTTGTTATAACAAATTAATAATTTGTTATAACAAATTAATAATTTGTTATAACAAATTATTAATTTGTTATAACAAATTATTAATTTGTTATAACAAATTATTAATTTGTTATAACAAATTATTAATTTGTTATAACAAATTATTAATTTGTTATATCAAATTGATAATTTATTATATCAAATTAGTAATCTGTTATAACAAATTAGTAATCTGTTATAACAAATTAGTAATTTGTTTTAACAAATTGATAATTTGTTATAACAAATTAGTAATTTGTTATAACAAATTAGTAATTTGTTATAACAAATTAGTAATCTGTTATAACAAATTAGTAATCTGTTTTAACAAATTAGTAATCTGTTATAACAAATTAGTAATCTGTTATAACAAATTAGTAATTTGTTTTAACAAATTAGTAATTTGTTTTAACAAATTGATAATTTGTTATAACAAATTAGTAATTTGTTATAACAAATTAGTAATCTGTTATAACAAATTAGTAATCTGTTATAACAAATTAGTAATCTGTTATAACAAATTAGTAATTTGTTAAAACAAATTAATAAAAGATACTGCTGCGGCCCTAATACGCTTCCGTACAAGGGTTTATGAGGAGAGTAGCGTATCAGAAACCCTTGGCTAGCGAAGATGTGTACATATTTGATGTGAAATTCCATATTTATGGTTAAGAAGTCACACATATGATAGACACTGATACATATACATGTAGATAGCTGTGATGATTCATTATATAATTTTTTTAATGAAATATTTTCATAAATATGCAATATTGATTTCTATATATACATGTATCATTGTACGTACAAATAAATTGTCAATTACCATATTATCATGATGTATATATTGTATAGCTAGTTTTCAAGTTCAAAAAATGCAGTATTTACTAGTCTATATTATAAGTGCTTTTGTTTTTATCTAAATGTTTTGTAAAACATTTTCTTTAAAGAAATTTGTTTTAATCATGTATGTTTATACATTCCACCTTTGTTTTCCTTATTAACTGTGTTCATTGATATGTTATTGAAGTGGAAACATGATGTCACAGTGAAAACATGTTGTATGGAAAGAAACGCAAAGTATGTATGGAAAGAAACGGAAAATACACAGGTTTAAGTGATGAAAGAATTTAAATTTTATATAAGCAGTCATTAATAATTCTGATATGGTACTTCATGTACACAAAATTTTGCAGGTGTGCATACACATTTTCATAATTATAGACTAACATTTTATTTAGTTTTTATGCAAACCTTTGGGATATGGCAACACAAAAGAACTAAAAATGAATGCAATACTGAAATAATTATGCATTAAAGCTTAATTAGTAACCTTTACAGCCTTAGTTATTTTTTTTTGAAGGACCAGTTGCTTGAGTTGTGTATGAACAGTGAAAATAAATTAATCATAATACATGTATTACTAAATGGAATTGAAAGCAGAAGTTTTGATTAGTATTTTTATAAAGTAATCTGTCCATTTGGAGCTATCCTATATAAACTATCCATACTTGGTTTACTTGGTTATCTTGAACACATTGTGACTGAGAAAAAACTTCAAGATTTCTGAGGATTCGAGACATCTGGGTAAAAATACATAAAGAATAGGTGCTTAGGCTTCCATCTAAATTGGACATATCCAAATATCAAAGTTTGAGATACATACAAAAGTTCAGCTGTTAACTGTCCAAATTTTCTCCAAGATGGCTCCTAGACCTATCAGCACACTGGCAAGTTTATTATCACCAGGATTCTGTGAAAAAGTAAGGCCAATTATAGTGGGAGATCGAGGATTTCTGAAAGGGGGGGGGGGCAACAGGCTCCCAGGTTTAAGGTCTTTATATACTTTATGTATAGTAAAAGCAATATCTCTCTCTCTCTCTCCCCCCCCCCCCAATGATTTATTCTTCTTTTCTAAGTTTACTGTTTTGGGACACAAAAAGGGCCCACCTCCCTCTAAATCTGTTAGTGAATTAACCTCTGATTGGTTCCTAAGTTATATTGTTTCTTTCAGAAGCAGATCAAAATGCCAACACAACTGCACAA